TAGTGAACTTATTATTTCATCTTAATCCTGTGTAAATCCAGCCACAGTACCATCCGTGAGAGAGTTTGTGAAGTACGGAGTACACGCTGACACAACTCCTGGAACCGACCACGTGACCACGCTCAGTTTCACTAAGTTAACAGCAGGAGATAAGGGATATTATTACTGCAATATAACCTATGATAAGACAGATACTTTCCCTGGGGGGAGTATCATCTCCAACACGGTCCCTCTAACTGTTATCAGCCCCGGTAAGTATCATCTCCAACACAGTCCCTCTGACTGTTATCAGCCCCGGTAAGTATCATCTCCAACACGGTCCCTCTGACTGTTATCAGCCCCGGTAAGTATCATCTCCAACACGGTCCCTCTGACTGTTATCAGCCCCGGTAAGTATCATCTCCAACACGGTCCCTCTGACTGTTATCAGCCCCGGTAAAATATGAAGTTTATTGAAATTGCTTTCGGCCCCTTTTTGGACGAGAATTTTTGCAAAACTTTAACAATGAATTTATTTTGCTTGTTTAAATAATTTTGTAATTGTGCTTCTTTTCTAGACGGGGGCGGGCGCTATACTAATCATGATTTTATAGTTTTGCATTTTATCAGGTTCCCTTAACATATGTGTTATTGTGCACTGTAAACAGGATGGCACCTGCACTTCTGACTTCTATGATATCACCAACCCCGTAAAAGCTTGCTCCTACGCAATCTCTAGAGCTTTAAGTAACTTCCTCAAAACCGACACTTCATGTGTGGAGCCAAGTAAGGGATGCGCTCTCACCGCTTCTGGCACCTCCAGTAGTACTGTTAGTGTTACAGGTACCTCAAAACTCTGTTGTTTCCGCTTTTGATATTTCACATTAAAAATTAAACTTTTCCTCGGTCCACACTCACACTTACACACCGTCTATCATTGACACCACTTTATTATATATAATAATACTATATGATACTACTTCGTAGCACTTGCCATCGGGCCATATACGATTTCGAGAAGAAAGCGGCGCGCTACTTCGAAGAAATTTAGACGAGTAACATCCGTCAAGGTACCTCATCATCCCTAGCTGATTGACACAAGAACCCTCTACAGGTACAGGGAGTAGTGTACTCAGTGAGGGAGCTAGTTTATCAACATTCTCTGTTAAAGGAAACAAAGCAGCTGTAACGGTTGATAAACTGACAGTAGGAGAAGGAGAAGAAGATTTGGTGAACTACCAAAACAAGTTTGAGGTGAGCTGTCCTGATGCTACCTCACTGGATGACTCATGTAAACTCACCTCTAAGAACGGGTCCTACAACTCCTACACGTGCACCAGTCCGTACTGTCACCTAGACATCTCCTCTGGGAGGAAGGACACTACCAACTGTACAGCTGACTACTGCTCTATCAAGGACACGTCAAGTGTGGAGAGTATTGTCACCTGTGGAGGCAAGGGTTGTGGTGTTACTGTAGATAAGGGTAAAGAGAACTTGTACTTTGTCATGCCCCAGATACATGAAGCAACTGTTACAGTGAGTGATAGTGTAGATGTGGAGGTTGACACTTATGGGGGGAACAAGAACGCTGTTGTCACAGTAACCAACAGTGAGGGAATCAGAGCCACGTGTAAAGGTGAGAACTGTACAGTGTCAGTTGTCAAGAGTAAGTACTCTAGGTCTGCCTGTGAAGGGTACAACTGCACTGCACTGGGTGATGAACTGGTTGGGTCCCAGAGCGCGGCTCAGAAAGTCATGTGCTCCGGTGAAAAATGTAAGGCTATCTGTAGAAACACTGCTAACTGTACTGCTAACTGTAAAGGTAAGGACTGTGTCTCTACCTGCTTTAACAACACGCTCTGCACTGCTACCTGTGAAGGTGTTGGGTGTGATACGGTCTGTAAAGCTGCTGAGAATGGAACTTGTGCCGAACTGCAACTTCCCAAGAAGTCTATCTGTGAGAACTGCTTGTTTGCTCCTACCATCTATGATTGGCAGGTATGTAAACATTGTTTAAGGTAACCAGGTAACCAGGTAACCAGGTAACCAGGTAACCAGGTAACTAGGTAACCAGGTAACCAGGTAACCAGGTAACCAGGTAACCAGGTAACCAGGTAACCAGGTAACCAGGTAACCAGGTAACCAGGTAACCAGGTAACCAGGTAACCAGGTAACCAGGTAACCAGGTAACCAGGTCTCTCTCTCTCTGTTTTGGTCAACGGTTTCTGGCCTCCTAGTGAAGAGGGAGGCCTTCTCGCCGTGCCCACAGAGTGTGACTCCTGCTAGCCACACTCCAGGACTCCCTAAGTATATACAAAAACATAGAATAATAGATATCAACGCAACAGACCTCTGGAGTCTCGAAGCTGTTACTACCTTGCTCAGAGCAAACCCACTTCAGATGTTCTTCTTTGGCGGGCAGGCGAGGGACTTCCGAGCATGGTCCACACCTGAATATGTGTCACTATCTGAGATAGTCCTGTGTGGGTCTAGTGTATGATTGTTTATGAACCTTGGTGTATGTCCTAGATGCTTATCCAAATAGATCGTCTCTGTCAAACCTTGTTGACTGTTCCACGAATTTGATAATGTGGTCGAGTTTACTATTGATGAGTTCCTCAATTGTTAGGATGGGTTTACCAAATATCCTCATTCTAGTTGTCATCAGCTGGATGCATTCACATAGGAAGTGTTGTGATGTTTCTGCTTCCCCTGGGCAGTGTTCACAGTCTTGTGTTTCGAAATTGGAGTTGTTTGCTACCGTCTGGAAGTATGCTAGTGGGCTGTGTCCTGATAGTAGCCATGTTAGCCATCTGATGTGAGTACCTGTGATGTTAATTTTATTGTACCTGTTTTTGTTGAGGAAAAATGTTAGTGGGGTTTTTCCTTTATCACTGAGTGCCACCTGTTTATACTTCTTGATATGGAGATTGAAGAGGTAATCTTTTATTTGGGTGTTGATTATAGTTCTTTACCGTATACTCCTTCATGTCCTGGAACAAAGTTCTACTCGATGAGAAAACCTAGCGAGTTGAGTTGGTCTGAGATGTTCAGAACGAACCTGGAGTTAAAATTGGTGCTGTTAAGGGCTTTAAATGCAGCCTGGGAATCTGAGAGGAATTTATGATTGATTGAGATCCTAAGTTATCATTAGTCCAGATACTTGCCATGTATAACGCAAATAGCGGGTACGATTTCCTCAATGAACCTGAAGAAGGAATATCTGTCCTGAATTGATCCCATGTAACGTCGAGCTTAAAAATGAATCAAAAGTTCGAGTAAATCGTTAAACGTTGTATGTCCTATTTGCATCCCCTAAGCATTGCATTGATGTTTATTCCTGGTCCGGTTAGCTTTGCGTCTCAGAAATAAAGAGGTCCACTATGCTTTAATGAGCTAAGCTGTCCACCAGGGTACTGTAGATCTAAGGGTTCCCCGTGTAATGGGGCAGGCTGTGATAAAGCATCTCTGCAGGATGTCCGAGATGAACTGATTCGAGTGTTGAGAACTTCCGCTGTAGAAACTGAATAGAACCAGTAAGGATGTCAGTCAAACTCTGCTGCTACTAGATGATTGTAGAGCGTCCAGTCACACTTCAATAAAGAGTGTGGCAAAGCTAACCCGGTCCCCTGAAAAGTGGTTACTGGAGGAAGAAGTTCCAGGAATTCTCGTTATCATTGTGTCCTCGTAGTCAGAGTTGAAATCCCTAATTCTGTCTTATCACGAGCCTGTGTCTAGCGTGTGTCAGCCCTTACGCATTAGCTGTCTTAACTGAAAAGACCTGAAAAGTGGTTACTGGAGGGAGAAGTGCCAAGACTACTCATTATCAGTGTGTCCTTGTAGTCAGGATGAGCGAATTGGAATCCCTAGCCCTGTGGTGGGTGACTTCGATGGGACCTGAAAGCTGGAAGAGAATTTCCTGGTGATTTAATAGCTCTTAGAGCTAGGTATCTGTGTCTAACGTATCGTCATTTGTGTGTGTACTATCTTGTAACCTGATATCTGAAAGAGAAATTTCCTGGTGCTTGGTAGCTGTTATTGTTGACTTCCTGGTTCCCATGGGAACTTTGAGTTGGCAAGTCCCAACCTTAGTACTCAACAAGAGAGCACACCACCCGTTAGTGCCAACCAGGCCACACCACGTGGAGGTTCGGAGAGGATTTCGTGACCCCAGGTAACCAGGTAACCAGGTAACCAGGTAACCAGGTAACCAGGTAACCAGGTAACCAGGTAACCAGGTAACCAGGTAACCAGGTAACCAGGTAACCAGGTAACCAGGTAACCAGTTATTAGTTTAATAGTTATTAGTCGCATTATTGTTTCTAATGAAAGGTTTTTATGATTCTGTGTATTGCGAAAAGGGGAAAATGCTCTTTTTAGTTAAGCAAATTGTTCACGTTTTTATGTCACTACAACACATTCTGACATTCATGTTCTGAAATTATTTGTTATATATATAGTATTAAAATTATTAGTAAAGTATTAGTAAAGTATTAAAACTCAACTTTTGAGTAAAGTATTAGTAAAGTATTAGTATTAGTAAAGTATTAAAACTGAACAGGTGTGTTTGGATAGCTACACCGACTGTGGAAACTGTTACACGGCAACTGTTGACCTGCTGGGTCTAAAACTCTTCAAGTTGGGGTGTTTGGATAATATAACATTAGAGGAGGCGTGTCCGTATAATTACTACATCCAGGCGTGTTCCGTGGAGACGTGTAAAGATGATCATTGTAACAGGGGGATAATGGAGAGAGCTAAAAATGAGTCTGATAATTCTGGTGCTCTGAGGCTGTCGGGGAGAGTCGTGGACTTTTGGGTCGTTTTTAGTATTTTCAGTATGGTAGTTCCTTTTATTGGGAGATTTTAGAAAAATGACATACCACGATCTTACCACGAAGTTGATAACGCCGGACGGCCGGAGCAGAAGTTATGATTGATCAGAAATTTCAGTTTCGGCATTGACTGTTGTTTATTTTTGTTTGTCATGGCTTTTGGAATTAAAACTGCTTTTTATTGAAAAAGCTAAAACTACACTCTAAATGTTCTACATTTAATTGAATTATTGTTATTAGAAAACCAGTTCATGGAAAACGAATTCACTGCATATATCATAAGGGTCCATTAAAACAGTATCTACTTCTAGTTCTGGTTCTACTTCTACTTCTACACGACTGTGAACTGAGTAGTAAAGTAATCCTCGAGGTCTCCCTTCCAGGTGTAGAGAGATATTTCAGCGCTGACAGCTTCTCTAACAACCTCCTTCAACTCCGGGTAGGTGTCACAACTCCCCATATCAACTGTAATCCTCTCTCCAGTACCCCTCTCAAACTGGAACATATACTGGGAACCAACTGCTATTGTCATTACAAAGTCGAATCCTCGTAGGTCACTCAGCTCGGTCCCCCAGGTTCGGCAGCTTCTGATTCCAGACCAGAGTCCATCGAAGTAGAAACGTGGAGATCCTCGAATATAAACTTGTCCCCCGCTGCTTCCACCGTAGAAAATGAAGTTGGCCTTCCCTATATGGTTCCTTTTAGCGTCGTATAAGTGCACACTGGCTGACAGATACACTTTACTATCCACCACTTTGTGCTGTGTAAAGTTTATTTGGAACTCTATGGGATCTGTACCGTCAATTCTGATTGTTTTAGATTTTGCGTTAAAGATGGGCCTCCAATCTGAAAATTAAATATTTAGGATTTCAATAGATGTGGCGGGCAACTGCTCTGAAAATTGTGATAGTTTGACTTGTTAACGACACGATCTTTTTGCTCTTCTGTTGCAGAATCAAAATGTTCTTTGTTTGAGTAACACAAGAATTTCGAGGAATAAGGAAGCGTTATTGGGCTGTAAAACCAACTTAAATCTTTTTTTCGTGCAACGTTATAGGTGAGGAACAGTCACAAGCGCGGCAAGTCATAATATTATCTTTTCTTTCGAAATGACCATCGATAAGGATCAAAATTAAAACGATTAAAATTATAACGGTGTCAGAGACGCAGGCCTAAAGACAAGCATTTAATATTACCTAGACAGGGATCAATGTTGCAGTCTTGATATTCCGAATAGTCTCCGAATAGTCTCCATCCACAATTAGCTCCTCCATTTGCTGGGGCAGGGTTGGAACAACTTCTGCTTCTACTTTGAGATCCTCCTCCGCATGCAACCGAGCACTCAGACCAATCCATAAAGTCAGACCATCCTCCGTCAACGGGGCAAGGGTCTGCATTGCAGTCTTGAGATTCCGAATCCTCTCCATCACAATTAGCTCCTCCATTTGCTGGGGCAGGGTTGGAACAACTTCTGCTTCTACTTTGAGATCCTCCCCCGCATGCAACCGAGCACTCAGACCATTCCGAAAAGTCAGACCATCCTCCATCAGCTGGCAGTTCGATCTTTGTCCACTGGAATCCGTTGCTTCCTTCTCGTAGCGCCACTGAGGTATCTAACGTTCTATTGAATTTCAAGTCTGACAGACTAAGAATTAGTTGAATGTCAAATATTAGTGCAAATATAAAAATGTCAAGAACCAGCGTTGGCTAGAGCAATGTCATCTCGTTGTGGGAATCTAGCAGCAATCTATTCGTCGTTGAAGGAAATTTTGTATTCCGAATCTAGGACCTCAATTGTGACTTTGAAGACTTTGCCAGAATATACGACGTGTCTCTTCGACGTGTTTCTTCCGAACGCTGGTCTAAAAATAACGTGTTAATACCGAAATCATAATGTTGGCAAATATTTAATATTTATTAAAATAATAATATGTATCTCTTCATTATTTATTAATTAGTCTAGTGCATATTATTTTTTAGTATATTTAGTATTTTGTTTCAGAAATAGCGCATTTGATGGATTTTTTAAATGAATGTTTCGAATCAATGTCAATCAATAGTAAAATTTTGCAAATGGACAACTTGCATGAATTGAACGAAATTAAAGATATAGCTGCATGCAATAGTGTATGTACTAAGAGCATCAACTTGCGGGTGAACATTTTATTCTCAAAACCCAATATATTATACACCATTGGAAAGGTCTCATTGAGTAGAGTCATATGGTACCAAGTTTTGGGCAAATGGCTGTTCCTAGCGAAAGTTATAGCCCGTCAAAGTTCCAAAAATGACCATTTAAAAAATGGGGCGGGGCATCGTGTTCTTAAAGTTTTTGACGAATTTTTTTTACAGCATATTGTTTATCACATTTTTTTACACAAGATTTGCTGTATGCCGTAATTTTATTTTTTGATATTTTAATCAAAAATAATTTTTATTTGGATTTAAAAGTACGCGCTACGCCGCGCAGTTAGAAATCGCAATAAGGAGATTTAACCAAATATTTTGTTGCGCAATTTTTTTTTCTCATATCAAATTTCCATGCTCATGTCGCATTTTCGGTTGCATCAAATTCAGCTGACGTCCACAACATGAAGTTTAAATGATCACACTGTGAAATTGGTTTGAAAGTATAATGCAAATATTCTTAGTTCTGGATAGTAATAGTATGTATACACTTAAAGGAAGAATCCAGGGTTTTCCCTATACTATCCAGTATTGTCGACTGTTCCAAAAATTTGAAGATATGGTTGAATTTACTGTTGTTAATGTTTATTGCTCTAGTCTGATGTATGCAATGGAATCACGATGATTGGTATCTATCTAAAAGCATATATAATGTGTAATGCAATTCATTATAGAATAAATGCAATTAGAAGTATCAATACCAGATCTTATCTTACTAGAAACATGAACTGAAAGCTATAATACTAAGAAAAGCTAAGCACCGTTACAAAGTGTAACACTCTACTCACCACAGTAGAGTTCAGGGTGACTTTGCTAAAGGGGAAAGATTGGTTAGAACAGTTAAGATTCTCCGTAGTCCTTAGTGGTTTTCCAATTATCCTCATTCTGAGTGTCATGATATGGATGCCCTTGCAGAGGAGGTGCTGGGATGTTTCTGCTTCTCCTGAAAGTGTTCACAATCTTGTGTCTCGAAGTTGACGTTGTTAAACTAGTGGGCTGTGATCTATCCTGACAGTGGCCATGTCAGCCATCTGATGTGAGTTCCAGAAAAATTTAAATACCTGTATTTATGTTTGTGAAGGAACATCTCAAGTGTGATTTTCCTGTCACTGAGTTTGGCCTAATTGGGAGAAAGGGTTCTGGTCCTATGGGGATGTTGTTGGATTGATCATCCCTTGCTAATTCGTCCGCTAGTTCTTTACCGTTACTCCTTCATGCCCTGGAACATCCAAGTTCTACTCGATGTGAATACCTATTGAATTGAGTTGGTCTGAGATGTTCAGAACGAACCCAGGCACGTAGACAGGGGGGGGGGGGCTAGTGTCCCCTAGACCGTAGGAAATGTCAAAATCTATTTTGCAAAATTTTCCGGGGCCTGCGCCACCCTAGCCCCCGCCAAGTGGCTCCGCCCCTGGGCCCCGCTGGGCCCTGGGCCCACGACCTCCGCCACAGCTTGCTCGCTGCGCAGCTGGAATGGACGCGTTGGCTCGCCGACAGGTCCCCCCCCCCCCCCCCCCCCAAAGAAAAATCCTGGCTACGTCCCTGAACGAACCTGGAGTTAAAACTGGTGCTGTTAGGCGCTTTAAATGCAGCCTGGGAATCTGAGAGGAATTAATGATTGATGGGGATCCTAAGTTATCATTAGTCCAGATACTTGCCATGTCTAATGCAAATAGTGGGTACTATTTTCTCAATGAAAGTAAAGGAGGATTGTCTGTCCTGTATTGTTACCATCTAACGTTGGGCTAACAAATTGAATCCAAAGTTTGAGTAATGCATTCGTTAAAATTTTGATGTCCTAATATTTGCATCCCTGAGGCATTGCATTGTTGTTTGTTCCTGGTCCGATTATGCTTTAGTGAGCTATGCTGTCCACCAGGGTACTGTAGATCTAAGGGTTTCCCGTGTAATGCGACAGGCTATGATAGAGCATCTTTGGAGGATGTCCAAGATGAACTGTTTTCGAACGTTAAGAACTTCTGCTGTATAAACTGATTAGAACCAGTAATGGTGTCAGTCGAACTCTGCTGCTATTAGATGATTGTAGAGCGTTTTGTCACACTTCAATGAAGAGTGTGGCAAAGCTAACCCGGTCCCCTAATCCTAGATTAAATGTGATGGCCTCAAGATGAGCCCTTAGCTGTCTAGCTGAGATGACCTGGAATATGGTCACTGGAGGGAGAAGTGCTAAGGATTCTCGCTATCAGTGTGTCCTCACTCCTCATAGTCAGAGTGAGAGATTTGAAATCCCTAACTCTGTCTTATCACGAGCCTGTGTCTAGCGTGTGTCAGCCCTTATGCATTACCTGTCTTAACTGAAAAAGACCTGAATAGTGGTTACTTGAGGGAGTGCAAAGACTACTAATTATCAGTGTGTCTTTGTAGTCAGAATGAGCGAATTGGAATCCGTAGCTCTGTGGTGGGTGACTTCGTTGGGACCTAAAAGCCGAAGGAGAATTTCTTGGTGATTTAATAGCTCTTAGAGCTAGGTATCTTTGTCTAACGTGTCGTCATTCGTGCGTGTACTATCTGGTATCCTGATATCTGAAAGAGAAATTTCCTGATGCTTGGTAGCTGTTAGTGTCGACTTCCTGGTTCCTATGGTAACTTTGAGTTGGCAAGTCCCAACCTTTGTACTCAACAAGAGAGCACACCACCCGTTACTGCCAACCAGGCCACACCACGCTGAGGTTCGGAGAGGATTTCGTGACCCTTAGACTAAAGTTATATGTATGACCACACCCTTTATCTCACTTGTTTTAAGATATCTCTGCTTCTGATAAGAGCTAAACTTTCGTCTTGTGTATTTAATTTTAAATGATCATGGTTTTAGAGTCTTCAGACTTCGGGTTGTTGTGTTTTCAGTTCAGACCCCATTTTTACACTCTCACGAGCATCGATTGACACACTTCATACAAGATATCTCAGCTTCGGTCTTTTGATGGGAAATAAGTGGTTATCTTGGTCATTACAATGGTTAGAATCATCTCAACGAGATAAACAAATTGCTATGAGTTTTCCAACACTAAGTCTAATCTACTCTCTAAACATGCATTCCTAGAATTTTCACGTTCAGCCTGTCTTGTAATCTTTAAGTTAAGTACCCCTGTTTCTGATCAGTCTAAGCCCGCACCTAGTGTTGATAAAAGTAAGCGCCCAGTACTTGATATATTTGATTTTGAACCGTCCTCAGGCTTTAAGAGAGCACAGCCGTCACAAGCTGGTGCTAAGCGTAAGAAGATTAAGGTTAGTGCAGAATCAAAATCAACTTCAGTATCTAGTAACTGGCTCACTCACTCCGACACAGGAAGACTTAGTATGTATTCGGAGCAATATGATATTTTTCAAAGTTCTAGTACATGGTATGATGATATTATAGTTAATAGTTATAGCAACATGTGTAAAATTCATCGTTCCAACTCATTTTCATTACAAGACACTTGCTTATCCAGACATCCAGTCCTTATAGTTATAGTAGTTTTAGTCCAGTTGACAGTAAGTTTATCCAGATAATTAATCCTAGTAATTTACATTGGTTCTGTATATCTAACGCCCTTACTTTCATAAGTGAACCTCATGTTGTAGAAATTTTTGATGCCATGAAAACCTCAGCTAGTTTAGAGAACAGTACTGTTTTAGATAAGTCCATCACTCACTGTATTCTTAAGTTAAGACCTCTCATTACTTTAGTTAGGTATATTGATACGCAGGTGCAGGGTAATTCTTATGATTGTGGTCCTTTGGCTTTAGGTTTCTTGTGGGCATTATCTAAGGGACATCATCCCCGTCAGTACGAGCACTTAAGAGCTAAGATGGTAAGTTCGTACGGTACGTACCTTTAAATTAGCTGTACGGTACGTACTAAATAAAGTAGGCTGAAAGGTTGAATCCAGTTGATAGCAATGGAAACAAAATCTAGACGCGCGGTACGTGCGACAGAGAAGGGGTTAAACCCTACACTGAAGCGGAATTCGAACCTATGAAGCTTATTAATCCGTCAATATACTGGAAATATTTTGGAGGAGAACTTTTTCTGCTTAAACAGTTGGCCCAAATAGTATTCAGTGTTTTAAGTTCTTCGTTAATTTGTGAGACCAATTTTAGAGATTACGAGTATATTATGGACAAGCGTAGATTAAGGTTGCGACCTGAGCTAGCTGAAAAGCTGGTGTTCGTATACTGCAACAAAAGGATGAAGCTTTGAGTTTAACGATAATTACAAGTAGTAGTAGTGTACAGTGTAGTACCGGTTAAGAGCGATCCGGTACACACATTTTCCTCTTAAATCTTTTATTGTTTTAACCACTGTGTTAATTTTCGACTTCTATCTCAAAAATTATGATGATAATACTAATCAAAAATTGCAAGTAATTCACTGAAGTTGATTCTAAAAATTTGAAAAAAAATTGTACCTTACAGTGCCTGTACGGTACGTACCTTTAAAAGTAGCTGTACCGTACGTACTTAAAGCCCTGTACCGTACGTACTTGCTTAAGAGGCCCAATGATCCGCTCTAAGGTAAGGCAAAGCTTCATAGAGAATAGGTTTGTCCCTCCTACCACTAAGCCTCCTAGAATGCACAATAAAGTAACATTGAGATCTTTTAAACTTGATTTCAGGTCTAAGTCTTTCGTTCATCAGTCTTAGGCGTTAGAATTTTCTGAATTGCAGTACATTGTAGTATCTTACTATATATAAAGCGAGACGATATATATATATCTGTGCCATTTTACTGACACCACGGCATCAACTTTAGCGCGACTTTCCGCAAAAACCGTAAAAGATATACAACTGGAACTTTTTTGGCTGGGTTACAAATGCTTTAATGGCCTTCAAATCAGCATGAAAAAATAAAAAATTGGCCAAGGAATAATGATTTTAGAGCCGAAAATTTGGAGCCCCAAGTGGTGTCAAAAACGCCAATTAAATAGGTAATAATTATTTTAGTATTTTGAGTCTTGACACCGTTTAGCGTTATATTATACGGGTTCCTGCTAGTATATATAATATATAGTATTCCAAGTTGCATCCTAGATATCATGAAAATATACACCTAAAGATGAATCATGTTTTTCATTCGATAAATTTGCAAATGTCAGCTTTTCGAGTTTGATATATTTCGTTTAGCCTGATAAAATAACGTTTCTTGACTTCTCAACTGTCAGATTTGAAAAATAACTGTACGATCCCCATTTTCACAAATTTTGTTTACACTCTGAATCTACGATTACGTGCGGTCGACGAATTTTCACCTAACCCACTTCAGGATGCAAAGATAGATAACGTTGAAAGACCATTGCTCTATTGGTTTGTATTTTGAACTACTATCATAATAATTACTGGATGGAGTTAACTGTGAAACTTAAATTATTTATTACTGGCAATGAGAGATATGATGTAATTTTGAATGTGATCTGATTGTTTGTGCGGCCAACTGGTCGTGAAGAAAGAAGACTGCGCCTTCTTGTCCTGCTACAGAGTTCCTTCTTCCCCCTTCTCCTGCTGGATCCAGACAAAGCTTACAACAGTTCCAGAATTTGATAACAACAGTTCCAGACAATGAGTTTCAAATCAACAAAAGCTTAGATATTTACGAATGGGACAAAATAGCTTGTTATAACTAGCTAGGGAGCACCTATCAGCACTTACCTAACATCCCCTAATCCCCTATCTTGGTATCACTACCTCTTTAGAAACCAACCCTAATTCTTCTTCCGGGCTCCCATACCTCCTGAACAAAATGATAAGCAGCTTGTCGAGACTTGGAACTGGATTTGCTCTCACTTGGAACTGGATTTGCTCTTACTTGAACTGGATTTGCTCTCACTTGGAACTGGATTTGCTCTCACTTGGAACTGGATTTGCTCTCGTGGGATCAAAAATGGATCCTTCCCAGCCTACTATCCTTACCCACAGCTTCACCTCTACCTTCCTCCAACCTTGCCTGGAACTTCATCCTACTACTGTGCTTAGTTCTTTTAGATCTGCGTTTAAATTATTATAACCGAGTTAAATTATTTTGAAGGTATTGAAGTATTGAATGATATTATGATTGATGTTGTGCGAAACTATTACTACCGCTTTATTACTGCCAATTGCTGTTACAATTTGTAGAAACTGATTTATACATTTGTACATATGATATCAAAAAATCAAATCTCAAAAACAACAAAGTAACAATCTGCTCTCTTTAATTATTGAAATCCATCCAAGTAAAAAGTTGTATTACCAGAGAGGTTAAATTTAAATTTCAAACAACCTTGTCTACAGCTTCTTGGAAGAAAATGGAACCGGATTCTAGTGGACGTTCTGAAACTAGTAGGGCTACAAAACTAAGTTGGAACACATCTTGTTTGAATACTGTTGAACCAAATTCAACTCTCTGCAACAACACAAGCAGACAAAATTTCTCAAAATCCGTTTTATCTGCTCAACTGGTTCTAAATTCTTGAATCCAGCCAAGGGTATAATGGGTGTTCTGGGAGTGCTAGGGCCACCAAAATTTGTAGGAACACTATTAGGGTCAATACCAAACGATTCCTACCTGTTTTGGGGCAATCCGACGAGTTTTAGAAAAATGTTCATTTTTGTCCATTTCGTTCATTCCATGACTCAGGGAATCTTGGGCGACTATTTTGACGTCAAAATAGTTAGTAAACACATCCCCCTACACCGTACAATCATCTCCAGCACTCTGCAGCCCCTTTAACAGACTGAAATGACCGTATCAATATCGGATACTCAGGAACCAGCTTTTTGATACGGAAATGGAATCAAGTCTCTAGTGGGCGTTTTGGGAGTGCTAGGGCCACCAAACTTTGTAGGAACACTATAAGGGTCAATACCAAACGATTCCGACCTGTTTTGGGGCAATCCGATGAGTTTTTTAAAAAATTTCATTTTTGTTCATTCCGTTCATTCCATGACTCAGGGAGCCTCTGGCGATAATTTTGACGTCAAAATAGTTAGTAAACACATCCCCCTACACCGTGAAACCATTTCCAGCACTCTGAAATTACTTTAACTGACTAAAATGACCGTATTAAAATGCCTCAAAAACCGTATCATCTGGTTCCACAATCTCGGATTCATCTTCTGTATTGTAACGCGCGAATTAATAATTTGTAGACAAACTAGCGCGCCGGGAACCATGCGGAATACAGATTGTCTCTTTACGTAATTCAAACTCTGATGACAAAATAAATTGATTGTGACTGTAATAATGGATTAAAAATTACGGCATACAGAAAATCTTGTGTAAAAAATGTGATAAACAATATGCTGTAAAAAAAATTCGTCAAAAACTTTAAGAACACGATGCCCCGCCCCGTTGTCTAAAGTGACAATTTTGGGACTTTGACGGGCTATAACTTTCGCTAGGAGCAGCCATTTCCCCAAAACTTGGTACCATATGACTCTACTCAATGAGACCTTTCCAATGATGTATAATATGTTGGGTTTTGAGACATAAAATGTTCACCCGCAAGTTGATGCTCTTAGTACATACACTACAACAGATGTTGGGAAAATCTTTTTCAAGGAAATAGTTTACCGCATTAAGGTATTTTAAAGAATCATTTTTGTCGGTAAGATCCTGTTTTATAATAATAATTATGTCAAGAATCTATACCTGATTGCCTTCTGCCAAGCTCCGTTAATCTTGTTGTTTAGTAAGATCCGGATCGTGTCCTGGAATGGTCTGAAGTCCACATGAAGAATGTTGACATCATCACCGATAATATTGACACTGAAATTATTTGCGTTGATTCGAACAAAATTTTATAAATGGTTTTGCCACTTAACTTTGAAAAATTGTTTGCAGTGAATAATAGCTTAATTAAACTAAAGCTCTTTAATTGTTGCACAAACAATAACTGATCTAATGTCTAAGTCATATTAAAAACCCGCTATTTAGTATAAGTATATTTGACCAAAACCCCTAATCATGGGTAGAGTGGACCGCTCATGCTACTAGAAAAAAACACAATATATAATTTTTTTTTTTTTTAAATGTTCAAATGTTCAAAAAAATGCTACTAGAAAAAAACACAATGAAACGTAATATACAGTATATATATATATATGCTATATAGTAGTCCGAATAGGGTTCACTTTAAACGGGAGTTTTTCACAGGGTGAGATCTTATTTAAAGATGAATGTTTTCTAAAATAACGTGCTGATGTGAGTTTATATGCGTAATAACTTAATAAGCATTAAAGTCAAAGTTATAAATAGTCGTGGCGTGAGCGTAAATCAAAATATGAGCTAGTCGTCATAAAGAATGATAACATTATTCTATTGCAAATTGTTCCTCGCTTCCGATGTTAATTGTAAAAGATCTAAATGTTTATTGTTTATAAACATGATAGCCTGAGGTCCCCAGGTAAAATATAGATACCTACTTGAATTTTGTAGTGTCATCCACGTAGATTCCCCAAGCCGAAATGACGTCCCCGACCTTCAGTGCTCTATTTAAAGGGTAACTCTCTCCTGATGTGGCATCAATTGGAGCTGAAGTTGAAAAATCAATAATAATTAAGTCAGAAATAATATTAACTGAATGAGAAAAAAATTAATATTCGAAATAATATTGAATTAGAAATAATGTGCGCACTAAATGGATTGGTTTTTGGAATGTTTTGTATGGTCAACAACTCATTTTTCGTGAATTTAATAAAAGGCTAATATGTATTCATAATCCTGTGGTGCACTATGACTAATTCTAAACATGTATTTCGAATACTCTGCTGTTTTCCTGCCGTTTGCCTATGCGGTCATTGCATGCTGTAAACTCATGACCTATGCTATAAATGCATGCTTCAAAATAATCGTAAATCATGTGTAATTGTATGAAAACGAACTAATTATTATTGAACGCAATAAGTATGATTAATCATAGTTGGTTCGTGCGCACTAAACGCACTTTTAAAACCGAACGCACTTTACCGTTACGCAAGAAAACTTTTTTTAAACGCACTTTTAAATCTGTTTCTAACAAATCAGTGCGTGAGCACGGAAAAAGTGGAGAAACTTGTATATATCCACGGTAATCTGCGCAATATCAGTGCATCTGAAAAGACTGGTGCAGCTGCACGTGGTAGTTCTCTTTTACACAATTACCTGGGGACCTCAGGCTATAATGTTCATAGAGATTCGGCGGAATGACAGGCTGAGCACGGAATGAGTATGACAGGCTGAGCGCGGCTCAGTAATTTTACACTACCTTAGTAAGATGTAGGAATGAAGAATTTTGTCATTTTTTAATTCGTAAACCTCGTAATGTATAAAAGGCAGACGCACTTTATCGCACTTAAACGCACGAAAAAATCTTCACGAACTAAACGCACTTTTCCTGTGATTAATTGACGTTATTTATCAAAAGAAATTAAATCGCTAAAAATAACTAAATTGATCCCGCTACCTGCCAAGAACTGGCCTGAATTCTTGAAAGACCAAGGAATGTAGCAATTAGCATACAATATAATATGTTATAACTTATAGTTTTAGCTGTTGAAGGTATCTTATTCTTTGGAATACAGCCTACCTAAGTTATTGAGCGACCTTGATTTTCAAGATTTTTCTAAAACCAACCTGAATCGATGTATTTTCGGACGCTGATTCTAAATCACCTTCATGACATATGGTTAAAATGCTCCCCTGGCGAGGATATTGGCGAAAAACTGTTTTGATCACATGACTTGAATACATATGGAAGTTGGTCTAAGTTTTTATTTATTCTTTACTATATTTTGTTTAACTTTAAGACAATTTGACTGCCAAAGGTTCGAGCCTGTTTATTTGATAGGTTAATTTGACTTTATGACAATGAGAAACACGGTTGGTTACTGGGCCATTTTTTGACGGTCAAAGGTTCAAGTTTGTTTAAGTGATAATGTTAATGACAGTCGACTATGACAAGAAGGGATATAGTTTATCTCACGATCGGAGGGATTGTTAAGTTGTTTTAAGTTAACCAGATACAGGAGAAGAAACGGGAGCAGTGGGGGGGGGGGGGTAACAGGTAAAGTTACGCCACTGAACGGGAGGACTCACGTCGATTTACGACAATGAGGAACGGAAGAGTATCTAATGATAAAGAAGTGGTTGTTAACCTGTCTTTAGAAGCCGCGAGAAAAGCTCATCCAATAACAACGTTTATGACAATAAAAGCGAATTAGACAGATATGGGAAGGACTCGCTTACATGGGGACCCCAAGCTATTATGTTCATAAACAGTGAGGACTCGCGAGACTTTGGCTTCGATCCAAGTATTGATAATAAAAGATATTGGAAAGGGGCAAAGAAACGGAAGCGATAAATACAGGTCTACTCGAAAAACATGGACGGTTGGAGAACAACCCTCGAGCAATAACCAGGGCAAGCTTTATATAAACAAGGATCTAGGGTCAGTAGGCAAGCTTTATATAAACAAGGATCTAGGGTCAGTAGGTACGTTGGTTTGGTAGACAAAAACTCAGACTCGGAGCTCAAACTCAGTGACTCTTGTTTGATTGTTGTGTCGAGTATTTGCTAGTATTATTCAACGTCGTAGGGAGATTTTGGATAGATGCAATTGCAGGATAGTAGCCTGTTTACATCAGAATAGAGAGGCATAGGGTTTTGAATAGTCCCCAGGGCCATCTAGATCAGAGAGTGTGTTTAAGTAAGTCACGTGATAGTCGAGTAAAATCCAAATCGTCATATTATTGAAGTTTAGAAAATAGACCCACCTGCACAGCTGCTGACACAGACTTAAAAGCATAAAAAAGTGAAAATTAGAATTTAATTGATATCTTTAGCTTACCTCTTGAGCAGAGTCCGAGGAGTCCAAGACCAATGATAATATGGAGGCTTGTCATCTTAACTATTTGAACGGTAGGTATAAAAACGATAGTAAAATCATTGAAAATGAATTTCCTTCACGCTAAGTATATTGCTTGAGCGATAATTTCTCATCAAAGTAAGTCAATCCCTCAGAAATGACCTAATATGTAAAAAAATAATTGCACGATATTGAGAGCAAAAACAATGACAAAAGGTTAATAACGTATTAAATAGAAAAAAAGGCGCAGAATGGTCTATAAAAGATCACTTTCAGAAAAAAGATCCTTCTTTATTGATCTCAGTACTATAACGGATTCATCTGGACCGGACATAGCTGCTAGATAAACACTAAACAGCACAGCCACTTTCTGAATTTTGTGAGGCTTTGCTTATACTTATAGGCCAGTTGTGAGGACAATATTTTATATTGTATCACCTCATCACTGAACAGACATGTAAAAAATTCCACCTGAAATTAAAACTTGTGAGATTTTATTTTACTTCGACAACTCAATTATATTTATACGTATAACTATAAGTATATACAAAAAAACACCCTGGTTATATAAAGACTAAACTGGTACATAGTATTTAATGTTCGCGCTATAATTACGGTGATTTATCTAGCTTCTAACTCAATTATTTATAGTCATGAGGTCTGTAATTCTAACGCCAGCATTTTCCATTACTTCGATAACTCAATTATATTCACAAAACGATGTCTGACCATAAAACTAGATCGGAGTTTAACATATAATTAATACTATAATCATGATGATTTATCTGAACATTTTACAAGCTATTGAATTTCTAAGTGCAGACATGTGAAAAATTAGTGAAATTAATGTTTTATTTTACCGCGACTGATATTATATTATATCAGGGTGCAGCTTCAACGTCCGAGCAACTCAATAGTAGAGGTCAGTGGTCACGTTCAAATATTACGTAATCGGCCAGGGCGGCAGGGCGCAATTTTTGACCACACAAGGTCTTTCATTAGGTCATTCCACACCAAAATCATCTAGGTACCCAATTTGCATCACCAGTCCTAGTCCCACAGGAAGAAATTACTAAATTGCCCTCAGGCGTAAATTTGGGGTCTTTGTATTTCGGCTTCTGAAGGACTGAAAGACTTGAATTTATCTTAAAGTAACCACAATAGCATTGTATTATTATAATTTTGTATTATAGAAAGCTTGTAACACTTGTAACTCCTTCTTGTTACCCCCCTATGAAGGTCCCGAATTATTTTCTGAACGAAAGCTCAAAAATAACCGAGAAATCGACTTTCTTATTAACTCATTTTGATGACTGCGTCTGACCTAAAATTGCACAAAAAATCGATTTAACTTAATCCCTCAAAATTGATCTTTTATAGTTAATACGAGCAACAAGCAACATAAATTTTGATCCTTCGGTTCTACTCATGACCTAGGGCCTAGGGAGTTAAGCAGAAACCGAAAGAACGAGGCAATCTTCACCTTAACTGATCGAACAGGTACTAACACACTAACAAATATAATTCAGTTGTTACTACCTGGTTACCTGGTTACCTGGTTACCTGGTTACCTGGTTACCTGGTTACCTGGTTACCTGGTTACCTGGTTACCTGGTTACCTGGTAACCTGGTTACCTGGTTACCTGGTTACCTGGTTACCTGGTTACCTGGTTACCTGGTTACCTGGTTACCTGGTTACCTGGTTACCTGGTTACCTGGTTACCTGGTTACCTGGTTACCTGGTTACCTGGTTACCTGGTTACCTGGTTACCTGGTTACCTGGTTACCTGGTTACCTGGTTACCTGGTTACCTGGTTACCTGGTTACCTGGTTACCTGGTTACCTGGTTACCTGGTTACCTGGTTACCTGGTTACCTGGTTACCTGGTTACCTGGTTACCTGGTTACCTGGTTACCTGGTTACCTGGTTACCTGGTTACCTGGTTACCTGGTTACCTGGTTACCTGGTTACCTGGTTACCTGGTTACCTGGTTACCTGGTTACCTGGTTACCTGGTTACCTGGTTACCTGGTTACCTGGTTACCTGGTTACCTGGTTACCTGGTTACCTGGTTACCTGGTTACCTGGTTACCTGGTTACCTGGTTACCTGGTTACCTGGTTACCTGGTTACCTGGTTACCTGGTTACCTGGTTACCTGGTTACCTGGTAACACTAACACTATACATAAACTTACTTTTAATGTAAACTCTTGTCGCACTTTTCATATTTTTCCCTTAAAAAGGAAATTTTACAAAAGCCGTGTTACTACCGTCTTCTGAAACCTGGATAATTCAATATAGTATGTATATATAGGTAATATAATTACCTGCAACAAAAGACGTCCTCATTTATCTCACCTCAAAATTGAAGCTTAAATATTGTTAAAGTGTGAAACTTCCTAGTTACATTTAATTCCTCTTTCAAAGTTTATCACCAAAACGAATTAAATTTTTATTATCGTGTTTACACTTCCATAACAATTAAATTATCTTTCGCGGATGAGTTTAACAATATCAATTTGAAAGGGAAATGACTAGTTAATAACGTTATTATGTTTTACTTGATCCAGTTTGAAAAACAGGTACCTCCGGTAATTATCACTAATGTCTATATATTCTGCCATTCCAGTTTGAATCAGCCATTTAGAATTCATCAACTTTCTCATTTCTATCTCTGTAACTATTCGAGTGTTGATTTGTCGTGACCCAGCCACCATCATTAGTACTTTAGTATAGGAACATTATATTATATATATTTAGCAAATAATAAATATCGATCTTAAATTATTTGTTATTTAGTAAGATAGTTGAAAGTATTTGTCAGAGCTAATTAACAATTAAATCACCCCACTTTAACAACTGCTCACTGTAGCTATTTCTTAATTTTCACGATTCACTTATCGCTATGACAACTAAAAACTCTTTACTAACGTATTTGCTAATATAGTTGTTGATTATATTCAAATTTCCATCAAATTATATTATGATATTCCACACTAATCAGTTAATTTAAGCTATGGGTAAGTCTATTCTTATTACGCTGAGCATACTTCTGGCAACAGCAGTCAACTCAGGAGAAACAAACTCAGGTAAATAGTTGTCATGTATATTTGCAGTACATAGATAATATCGTGACTCCCCAAAAATATGCTATTTCAGTCAGATGCACACAAAAAATAGTTTTTGAATACATTGAATTAAACCAGGCTAAATTTATCAGTTTCAGTCATTGTGAGCAATTGAAATCCTAAATATTTAATTTTCAGATTGGAACCCCATCTTTAACGCAACATCTGAAATATTCAGCATTAACGGTACAGATCCCATAGAGTTCCAACTAAACTTTACACAGCACAAAGTGGTGGAGAGTAGCCTGTATCTATCAGCCAGTGTGCATTTACACGACGCTAATGGGAACCAGATAGGAGAGACCAACTTCATTTTCTACGGTGGAAACAGGGAGGGACAAGTCTCTATTCGAGGATCTCCACGTTTCTACTTCGATGGACCCTGGTCTGGAATCAGAAGCTGCCAAACCTGGCCGGGGACCGATCTGAGTGACCTAGGAGGATTTGACTTTGTAATGACAATATCAGTTGGTTCCCCGGATATGTTCCAGTTTGAGAGGGGTACTGGAGAGAGGATTACAGTTGATATGGGGAGTTGTGACACCTACCCGGAGTGGAAGGAGGTTGTTGGAGAAGCTGTCAGTGCTGAAATATCTCTCTATACCTGGCAGGAAGACCTCGAGGATTACTTTACTACTCAGTTCACAGTCGTGTAGTACTAGAAGTAGAAGTAGAACTAGAAGTAGATACTGTTTTAACGGACCCTTATGATATATGCAGTGAATTTGTTTTCCATGGACTGGTTTTCTAATAATAATAATTCAATTAAATGTAGAACATTTAGAGTGCAGATTCAGCTTGTTCAATAAAAAGCAGTTTTGATTTGGGGGGATGGGGCTTGGGTTCCACCTTCAATAATCTATGTAATTTGCTTTTGAGATAAGTTCATTAATCATTACTTAATCTAGCAAAATAAATTCATTGCCAAAATAGCCATTGCAAACAAAAATAAACAACAGTCAATGCCGAGACTGAAATTTCTGATCAATCATAACTTCTGTTCCGGCTGTCCGGCGTAATCAACTTCGTGATTCGTGGTATATCATTTTTCTAAAATCTCCCAATAAAAGGAACTACTATACTGAAAAAACTAAAAACGACCCAAAAGTCCACGACTCTCCCCGACAGCCTCACAGCACCAGAATTATCAGACTCATTTTTTCCTTTTCACCCTTTTGAAAAAAGGCAATAGTGAAAGGTTACGAATGGACGTTTTTGCAGAAAAACGTGGATTTTGGAGATTGCAGTAGGTTTTTTTTTACCTCGTGCTTTTTTTTTTGGAAAACGAAATTAGATATATACAGAATAGTATTACAGGTTATATATTATGAAAATCATCATTGCAAAAATAAAACCCAGTCCATGGCAGGGACAAAAGGATTTCGCGGCATGTACGAAACTGCGAAATTTCCCATTCTCCGCGACAAATCGCGATTTTTTACGTTTTCCGCGACAGATCGCGAAATTTCCCATTCTCCGCGACAAATCGCGATTTTTTCAGTCCTCCGCGAAAAATCGCGCATTTTCCTTTAAATCTGAAGACCAAATTTGTGCATTTTCCTTTAAATCTGAGGACCAAGTTTTCGTAAAATCTGCGGGCCAAATGTCACGTTTTCTACAAGTATTAAGTATAATATGAAACTAATCACATTTACAGCCTTCCGTGAGTTCCGATTGTAGGTACATTCTCGATACGTACCTCTTAAGGCGGAGCTTCCGAGCTTCCGGAGCTCGTATTGCGATGGGAAGGCCTGCCTTCCGATATCGCATTACAAGGGGAGCCCTCGAGTCCAAAATCGTGTATCGAAGCGTATGTGACCTTTGAAAACCGAAAAAAAATATTTTCGGCTCATAATGATCAGGGTAGCATGAAACATGAACAAAAGTAGTTTCCAGAAAAACTTTGAAAAATGTTGACTTAGAAAATTTTCTGTCCGAGTCATTCTCGATACGTACCTCTGAAGGCGGAGCTCCCGCTTCTGAGCTCGTATTGTGAAGGGGAGGCCTGCCTTCCGAGATCGCATTACAAGGGGAGCCCTCGAGTCCTAAATCGTGTATCGAAGGGTATGTGTGAACTTTGAAAACCGAAAAAATATTTTCGGCTCAAAATGATCAGGGTAGCATGAAACATGAACAAAAGTAGTTTCCAGAAAAACTTTGAAAAATTTTGACTTAGAAAATTTTCTGTCCGAGTCATTCTCGATACGTACCTCTGAAGGCGGAGCTCCCGCTTCCGAGCTCGTATTGCGAAGGGGAGGCCTGCCTTCCGAGATCGCATTACAAGGGGAGCCCTCGAGTCCAAAATCGTGTATCGAAGGGTATGTGTGACCTTTGAAAACCGAAAAAATATTTTCGGCTCATAATGATCAGGGTAGCATGAAACATGAACAAAAGTAGTTTCCAGAAAAACTTTGAAAATTTTTGACTTAGAAAATTTTCTGTCCGAGTCATTCTCGATACGTACCTCTGAAGGCGGAGCTCCCGCTTCCGAGCTCGTATTGCGAAGGGGAGGTCTGCCTTCCGAGATCGTATATGGAAGTTGACCAGTAGACATATAAAACTTGACCAGACGACATAAAGTTGACCAGTAGACATATAAAACTTGACCAGACGACATAAAGTTGACCAAACGACATATAAAACTTGACCAAACGACATAAAGTTGACCAGACGACATAAAGTTGACCAGACGACATAAAGTTGACCAGACGACATAAAGTTGACCAGTAGACATAAAAAACTTGACCAAACGACATAAAGTTGACCAGAAGACCTACAATGGATTAAGAAATCGAACAGTATGTTAAATCAGTGTTGTTATTGAATCGTCACTTGTCAGATATTTCGTCATCGTTATTCGCTTGGTATTGTATTCGCTTGTTATAATGGACCGCTTTGTCAAACGGCCTGCCGACAAACCGGCTGGACCTTCGTCTACCAAACGCTCGAAACAGGCTAAACAGGGCAATGTAACAGCTTCCACGAGAGTGGCTGAATTTGGCAAACCATCGTTTTATGCTGACAATGGGAAGCTATTTTGTAAAGCATGTAATCTCGTCGTAGACCACATAAGGAACAATCATGGGATTCCCTCGGGATGTGGTTAGAACTTCTAGAAGGTTCGTGCAGGAGGCCGGGGTAAGGATGTCGTCCAGGTTGATGTAAGCTTCAAGGGGTAGAGGTTGGATACTAGATGGGGATAGACTAGGTAGGGATATGGGAATTGGGTTGAAAAGTTCGTAGTATTCCATTGCTATAGTAGTGAAGTGTAGATGGTCGTTCATGATGATGTCTCCTGTCGTCTGTTGAAAGTTATATAGTATCGATAACGAGATATAATATGTCATACAGTGCGTATGATATTGCAACATTTGAGATCATGTCAAAAGTTATGGCAGCTCTTGTTGTTATGGACCCCCATCAGCCTGTATCAGATCATATGATGAGATCACATCCTCATGGGACATGAGCCGATCAAATAGAATAGTCAAAGAATATGTGAACTCTAACTAAGCACTGTAAATACATTATTTTTTGCCGCGAATTCGCCGCGATTTTTCGATTTTTTGCCGCGAATATGCCGCGATTTTCGAAATTCCCGCCGCGAATTAGCCGCGAATTAGCCTAGTTTGGCTTGTCGCGGTGCCGCGATTTTTGGCCAAAATAACCGCGAAATCCTTTTGTCCCTGGTCCATGGGACTGAAAAAATTAGTTGACTTTCGATTCGAAAGAGTTAAATTCTAAATCATCCATGTTAGATAATTCGTAAGTTTTGTTTGAGGTATTTCTTGATCCTCTAATACACAATAAAATTAATTTCCTAATTAAAAATGATAATTTACACCGATAATAATTTATAATATCGTTGTAATTCTGCTTCTTCTTATAAGCAAGTTTGTTGCAAAGCAGTTTCTCAAATGTCCTGGCTTGAGGTCCCATGCCACCCGTTACTGAATATATTAATGGAGCGAATGACCCGTGCTCTACATTAAGTATTCTCTCGTTGTAGCATCGTGTTTTCTGTCTCTCGGCGTTCTCCATTGTCTTCTTTGTCGAATGTTGAAGGTAGGAATTAGAATTAGGATTAATTACCTTAACATCGAAAAAAGCCACTTGGCCCGGCCTATAGAAACCACGAGCTCTAATATCGGGTCTTGCCTGGTCACCCGTTAGTGTCGAGGACCTCTTGAACTGCTCTCCTTCTAGTTCTTGAAGCTGAGGTTCAACTTCCACGTCCGAGCAAACAGTGTTCAGCAAGCCAGCTAAAAAATCCCTAATTTCATTGTGTCTGATAATGATGTAGGCACCAAGATGGCAATTTAGCGAATGGTTCACATCAAACGTTTTTCCGCATGGACATTGTGATGGCAAACGATCCAGATCTAAGTTGTACCGCAATCTGATAGAATCCCTGAATTCAGATTTATTTAGAACGAAACCATGTTTTCTAAGTGGTAAACATGAGAGCCAATTTGAGCTCCCTGGTTTGCTAATCTGCTCCAAAACCCTTGCGGTCTTCTTATCTACCTTTTTAAGTATCTCCTCTTGTTGTTCTTTATATTCCAAAACACGCTGTTTTAGCATGTCTTGGAGCTCTTCTGTCGATTCCGTGTCAGTTGCAGCAAGAGATTTGCCTTTCATGGAATTGACCAGATTGCAGTAGGTGGGTCTGAGTATGTCGTGTTCCTTCCGTCCGTTACCAAGCAACGAAAAAGTTGCGCTCGCGCGAGGATTGCTTGCGGAGATGTGATGTATAGATAGCCTGTGATCTATGAATGCGCGGCGCGACTGTGTTTTAATGTATACAATGTAATGTATAGTATTTTGTAATAAGCCCAACTTGAACGTGGCACGCGTAGTGTACTGATGTTTCAATATTATTATTACAAGGTGAGCTGATTAGAGTTTATATTACTAGTTATAGTGAAATGGAAATCTAGCGTCCGCCAAAACGAAACAACGGGCGCAATTCTTGTTAGCTCTCTCCATTATCCCCCTGTTACAATGATCATCTTTACACGTCTCCACGGTACACGCCTGGATGTAGTAATTATACGGACACGCCTCCTCCCGCGTTGTATTATCCAAACACCTCAACTTGAAGGTAACCAGGTAACCAGGTAACCAGGTAACCAGGTAACCAGGTAACCAGGTAACCAGGTAACCAGGTAACCAGGTAACCAGGTAACCAGGTAACCAGGTAACCAGGTAACCAGGTAACCAGGTAACCAGGTAACCAGGTAACCAGGTAACCAGGTAACCAGGTAACCAGGTAACCAGGTAACCAGGTAACCAGGTAACCAGGTAACCAGGTAACCAGGTAACCAGGTAACCAGGTAACCAGGTAACCAGGTAACCAGGTAACCAGGTAACCAGGTAACCAGGTAACCAGGTAACCAGGTAACCAGGTAACCAGGTAACCAGGTAACCAGGTAACCAGGTAACCAGGTAACCAGGTAACCAGGTAACCAGGTAACCAGGTAACCAGGTAACCAGGTAACCAGGTAACCAGGTAACCAGGTAACCAGGTAACCAGGTAACCAGGTAACCAGGTAACCAGGTAACCAGGTAACCAGGTAACCAGGTAACCAGGTAACCAGGTAACCAGGTAACCAGGTAACCAGGTAACCAGGTAACCAGGTAACCAGGTAACCAGGTAACCAGGTAACCAGGTAACCAGGTAACCAGAGAACTGCTTGTTCGCTCCTACCATCTATGATTGGCAGGTATGTGTAATACCCGGATCGGTACATTGTTTATTAGTTATTAGTTTATTAGTTATTGGTTATTAATCGCATTATTGTTTGTGATGAAAGGTTTTGATGATTCTGTGTATTGCGACAAAGGTATACATTATAATATATATATATATTATAAGTAACAAAGTGTTAGTGTTATATATTATAGAGTTATAGTATTATGGGAATGTAGATTTATGGTAAAATCTTAAAAAGTTTTTACTACAGCTCTCATACAGTGCTCATTCGTAAAGACAAAGAAAACACATTTTGTAAGTTTTTGAGCAAAAGAATTCAATCAAAAATAACCAATCAAAACATGTGATGTACAAGAAATTAAAAACGTGTAAATTTAATCAATTAAAGTGTGGTTAGTTTAAATCGGCTCCACGAAAAGGTGCGTAATAAATAAGGAATAGAATATTAAAAAGATGTTATGTTCAGTTATTTCACGAGCCAATTTCAACTGGGAATACTTTAATCAACTCAGCCCCTTTTTTAAAAAGTGCACTTAAAATTACAGTTAAAAAATTTAATCAACTCAGCTCCTTTCAAAGTGCTTTTAAAGTTACATTTCAAAACAAAAAGATTAGGACGCCGATGGCATATCGGTTGCCAGGGTAAGCACTAAGCAATATCCATGTTATCGTAAATTGGACGAACTGTTCTGAATCTGGTAATACTAACGATATGGTAGATTTGGTGTCAGAGAACATATCTGTTATTGGATAACAGGGAATAACGGAGTCGGCACCAGATAACGTCGAAGATAACAGTTTCTACGGTAATCTCTCCAGTATAACAACTAGTGGCAGACAGAGGTAATTCGACCATTACGGTTCATTTTCGTAGCTGCGACTACCTGAAATGATTAAATTCAATTATTAATCAATCATGAAATAAAAAAGATTTCGATCGAACCAACATTTTGGAATGGTGTTTTATTCGAAAGGTACCGATTCTATACCAACTTTCGGCAACCATACAAAGCATTTTATTGACTCTTTTTGTAAAAAGGTCCAAATAAACATTTGTATGATACCAAGGGAGACCCAGGATTAACTTCAGGTTAACTTAATTTTCCGATTTAAAATAACAACTCTACTTCCTCTCAGATGAGATGTTTCAGATGATATTATAATTACAATCCCCAGGTAACTAGATACCTGAATTAACCTGATTAATAATCAATTAATTAATTGTTAATTAATTAACTAACCTGATTTTGATGGCAGCTGACTGTAACGAACTCCGTTTCGTCGAACACGAAGTCTAAACACTTATTAGGGATGTTGCGATCATCTGATACTTCAACAAGGTGCAGAGATAGCAGGTACTTCTGTCCTTTCTTTATCTCGATCTGAAGGGTAGTGTTGGTTGATACTTAACGAACCATTGTAGTTTGAGATGATGAATATAATATCAAAGCGATTAGAATTAGGACAGCAGAAACTTATACATTAGACTTTATTGACGATAGCATTTGACAGAGGTAGAAAGAACTCAAAAGATTTGTCAATGTTTTAATCATGTATTTGAAAGATTCAGCTTTCACAATAAAATTCACCTTTTGATTGTTATAATAGAAAAAAATAATTTACCATGTTTCCTTCCTGCTGACCAGTAGTGAATTTGGGAGTTTTGAAAGAAATCGGCTTTCGCATCCAGCCTGACCCTGTTTAAGACATTTTGTCAAACCGTTATTTAAACTAATACATTTTTAAGAATTGATACTAGTGATAGATTTTTAACAAGATATAAGTTAAATACAACATTCATTGTATTCTTAACACAGTATGAGGGTAATTTATTTTGAAGGTTTATCACTTGACAAACAGCATTATTGAGCTCATATTAATACATAATTATGTAAGAAAAGGTTTCAAAAAATGCGAGTAACCTTGGAGAGGAGTTTCAGGGTGATAATAGATTCTTTTGTTGCTCTCTGTCTCTGCGGGTCCAGATACTATCCAACTAATAACAATTAGATAATTAATTAAATTATTAATTTATTTATTAATTAAGTTAAACAGGAATTGTAAGGGCTTCAGTGAAATATTTGTTCGATGCTTCGTTCATTATTTTAGGTTAGTAAGAAATTAATTTAATAATTTAATCAATTTAGTTACAAACAGTTGATACCTGGTGGTTTGGTAGTTGAAAGTGAATTTGTTTTGGTCTGTTGGCCGTGCTTCAATGAAAACGTGGTAAAACTTGGTGGGCGATAGTCCTGATAGTCTCACGTTGAAGTTCGGGAACATGCGCCTAGGTTGGAGATAAGAATTATAAAATTCGATTATTTATCATTTATAATTATATTATTTTTATTAATTATAGTGATAATTAGATTAAACCTGATCAAACATTTTATAATTAGAATTATTCAGTGCCATTAAATTTACTTCCTCGTAAACGAAAGCATTAATATAATTCTGTGAAAATAGTAACCATGACAATAATCTTTGGAAAGATAACTTAAATAAGTACCTGCCCTGAGGGCCGACTACCATTTCATTCTGGAACTGTTTGAGCTGGGTCCATAGTTCAGCACCTTCCAGTACCGCTGTTACTTCATCTTGTATTCGATGTAAATCCTGCAGCACAAGTAAGCAATTAACAAATTAATAATTAACAAGAAACGTAATTAATTTCATTATTTTATTTGATATAATTTGGTCGGCTAAAACAGTGGCACGCTAAAATGTTTTTAAGAACAAACAGACAGACCTACAGACAGACAGACAGAATGGAGTGATGGATGGACGGACAGACAAACAAACCTCCATGCCATGATAAGATGGGTGACTCTGACAAATCCACTTCTGGGTAGCGACCTCAACGTACACGTGACTACAAATGTTCATAGACGGGGAACCGTCTAATGAACTAAAAACAACCATAGCTTACCCTGCTTTATAAAGTGATGAATTAAGTAATTATAAATTATGAAATTATAAATTAAAAAGAAATTTACAATTTAACACAATATGGTCGAATCAAAACTGACGCGTTTTAAAAGAAAATTAAAAAATATGAAACTAAGCTGTAAACACATATATTTTAATATTTTGAACTAATATATCATATATATAACAAATAATCTGAGGAAGCAATGTGCCAATGTAACAGAGTTAGTATATTTGATGTTGCCATGCATGCAGCCTGAGGTGACGATTATAGCAGCCTAGTTTTGATGCCTACTAATGTGATAGTAAAATCAAAAAATTCACTTCGAAATGTAAATTATTTTAATGTGATTATTTAACTAAGCTTCCTCCCACTAGTATTAGTACTTTAGTAAAGTTTTAAATTTATTCAATACATGCAGTGGGGTCATGATCAAACGAATTTAAAAGAAATAACTGATTTGTGAATAAAATTGATACAAGCTAACATTTATGTATAGATAATGATAAGATAAGCTCGTTATTTCTTATCTCATTCATACTTTAATAAAAACGGTTTTATATTCGACCATTGCTTGTTACACGTTGCAAACCCTGCATGTGCACTGTGCACTCGAGGCGTGCACGCATACCGATTACCAGTCGGCTGCTGCAGTCGGGGCTCGCCGGAGCGCGACAAGTAAAATGCAAAGTGTGTCGAGATGTATCAAAAGAATCCATTTCCGTAATAATCTGATTATCATTAATATGTACACGTTTTGTAATCCACCATTTTTTGTATCGTATTCGTACGTGATTCATGCTTATCAGCTATCGCACATATCAATATCATTCACTAAAATATGTTTAAACGTTACTTAAATTTTTAGAACTGAATTCAAATGTGGCCAATAATATTGCGCTGCAAACTTTTAAAAAAATGTTCTGGATGCTCAGTACTTTTTAAACGGGTGTTAATGTATTACCCGCATTATCATTATATTTATTTGAAATATAAACCAACATTGATGAGTTGCGAATTGAAGCAACAAGGCGCGCGCGTTTTATAATAGGTTATAAACCAATTTGAATTAGAACGTTTACTGTAATTTTAACCGTTAATAATTACGGTTAAAATTAAAGTAACGGCGTTATGATCATATCATTATCAGCTAAAGATTAAACGAATTCATTTAAGCTTAAACAAATCAGTTTAATATTTGACTGTTATAATTTCGATAAATCATTACGTATTAAAATAAAATGATGAAAGTTTGTTCGAAAAGAAATCGTGATGTCAAATTCTATTTAATATTACCCCTCCGATCCTAATCGAGAGAACGTGAAACAATATTAAATTCCCGGCATAAGGGCAAATCACTCATTGAAACTTCAAACTCGGTATGACGGTATTTATTCTCGCTGCGGCCACGATGAAATTAAACATACGCTGCAAGTTGCAGCGTCAAGCTTATCGCGAAGAGCGCGCGCGAGGCCGGAGGCGGCCGGCCGCGGCCGGAGTGAACGCTTCGCGTGCACATAATAGGTATACAACGTGTAGCAATTAAATAATAATTATATAATTATAATGTGCTTCCTAAAGCTTTTCTTACGAACATAACGAAGATTCACTCCGCTTTTTTATAATAAATTATTAAAATTAAATATTGTTTTACCTGGGGACCTCAGGCTATCATGTTCATTAACGAATAGAGATTTGGCGGAATGACAGGCTGAGTGCGGCCCAGTAAATATTGATAAGCAAGATGACAACATAAATGTAGTTCAAAGTTTATCTTTTTACAAATAGTAATATTCTACATGCTGCGATCGTAACACATAACACTAACAGTAAACGTTGGAATATAGCCTATAAGTATAATAAATAATTACACCTCAATTATATGTCTATATGACTATATGTATCGTTTGACTGATAAATGACTTTAAGGCGGACTTTGGATGAATTTTTATTCTTAAAGTATTTTCGTTTCGTTTCCTCATTCATCCTTTTTTTCAATTACGTATTCTGATTCAACTTCAAGTTGTTCCCCAAAATAATCAAACGTATTCTGGTTCAAGCCATTCCCCGAAATAATCATTCCTAGCTGATTCGGCGATAATTGATAACTAGCCAAATCACTTGATTACGCATAAGCCACAGCTTTAATTTTAAAACAATAATCGTGTTTTCTCACGGGGCCGGGAGGATAGTTAAATGTCTAGCTAAAACTTTCGTTTCAAATAATTGCGCTTTGTATCATGCAACAATATCGTGTTAAATTGGTATTTTACTGTTGTTGGTATTTTACTGTTGTTTATGCTTTCATGGTACTGTAAGTAATACGTTTAACATAATATCACAAGAAGAATAATTTTAATTCTGTTTATAATTATAAACTCGAAATAAGCATAAAAACGGGATCATGACCACAATAATTTTAACCGCCAAAATTCAAATTTTCGCAGTATATAAGTCAAGTAACAGGTTTATGAGTCAAGTAAGTAACTAACAGGTGCGGGATTTCTTCTGACTCAACTTGCAATTTGATCTGCCGGAATATTGTAAGATTTATTAGTCCCATAACACTTTTCGTCCTTTCACACTTAAGCTCTAAGAGTTAAAACGAATATATGAGTCTATATTATGATTTTATAGTTCTAAAAATCCAAAACTAGGTTTGGTATTTCTGATTGATGTTTATTTCTCCTTAAATTTTTGCACGCGATATTTATTTTTTTTATTACCCCCTTTTGCTGATACTTATCCCATTTATTTGTATTTTATAAAACTATCCAAATAGTCCACAAGTCAAGTCCTTAAGTCTCGAGACTGAACGATTAGACAAATTTGACTTGAATTACCTGTGTATTAAAGTATCAAAGAGGTGTTGTGCTGTTGACAAGTGTTGTAAAGTGCCAACGTGTTTCATGATGTTTATTCTCCATCTTTCCAGAACAATCTGCAGTGTATAATAACAGATACCAAATACTCGTACATCCTTTCCTGAGGATATGAAACTACAAACCTTCTGGTGCCGTCAACACAATGATATCTGACAGGCTTCACTAGCTTCACTAGCTTCACTAGAGCACAAGCTGCTGAACTTGAGAAAGTTAACAATCCAGACTAGTGACACTTTACACTCGACTATATAGCTCTAGACTATAACTAAGGTGTTTGATGTGTTTGACAAGCGTTATTAGAAGGAGGGGAGAGAGAGTCTCTACCAATGTGGTAAAATTGTGGAAATGTCACAATTAGGTACACAGCTTGTTCAGCTGATTGAAGGTTGATTTAACTTATCAGTTACGCCGTATGTACTGCAGTGAAAAGATATGGCACTCCACTGTACGACTATTTTAGTGGCCAATCTTAGTTTTAAGCTGTTTATACCAATTGTTGATAATCAACTATTTGACGAAGACGACCGTAAGGGGCAACCAAGGGACCCACTTAATCAACCTCTTGAAGCAAATTTGTGAAACCATCTAGAACTATTTTGTGTTATTTGTGATACGTTTCTCTAGTTTAAGTTGGCAGAAAAAATAACTCTGACGGAGTATTTGATCGTAACAATGTTAGTAAGAATGCGGGGCACCTGCATAAACAAACTGTGAACCAATGCTTTTTGAATAGAATTGAATTACTACACTGTAAGTGTAAGACTATAGATCTCTCCAAAAGGAATGTTACATTCTCGGCTCCCTGCACTTCAACCTTCTCTCCAAACTTACCTACAATAAAATTGAATAATTTTATTGCTTGTTCGCTGTAGCCCAACCAGTTTCTCTCTTCTGCATCACGTGACTGACTTGATGCAATCCGTAAAGAGGGACCACTGGATAGCTAAACAAGTGATGCACCCACATACCAGCCAATCAGGACGCTGTATGTCCGTCACGTGACACGCGCCGACCACTCGGGACGTCGTACTTTCTCATGCGCGCTAAATTGCAATTCTATCATTCCTCTTCCGTGATGATCGCAGGTTTTAGTTCATATTTGTTTGTGTAGGACGTTCCCCCGTTAACCGGTTTAGCGTTACCTTAACACAATTCCCAGTTCCTTAATCCCAGTCAGCCTCCCTATTCGTCGCCGTGGCATACTGTGATTATCTTACCTCATTTCCGGCCTATCTCTGCACTGTATCTGCCACGTATATTAATGATACTTCTTTACGGTTCATGAGTATATCTTGCTCACTCACTTTTATTCTTTTCCTTTGCAAATCTTTATAAATATTTGTTACCGATATAAACTTTTGTATCGGTGTATGTAGGGACTTTATCTTTTTACTTAGCTCCTTGGTGATAAAGAGGTGTATATGAGAATGTAATCGCGATTATTATCGCACTGAAATTAAAATAGTTCGTGCTTTTCAAGGGACAGCACTAATTTCTGGCTTTTATAATATGTCCCTTCTTTAATATGATTTAACTCGATTTATCTAATGACCTATCTAACGGTACTTTAATTTTCTTTTTCTTGGTAAAAGATAGCTTGGTTAACTTAGTTAACTTAGTAAACTTACCTGTATGTGATTAAGAAATAAGTCCGATCACAGTTACATTTCGCTTTCCCTCCAGGATTCTTATACTATTGCACAGTGCACGAATGATTGTTCAAATAAGTGCTGTTTTTATAATGTATTGAGTTCCTATACTACCTATCCCGCTGAGAAATTATAATGTGACGTGTCCAATAATAACACAGCAATATTCTAATTCATTGTCCAGCTGTAAGTTTATAATTTTATAAGAGTAGACACCCATCTAGCAATATGTAAACCAATACAATAAATTTAATAAAACAGTAACCAAAATTTTAAAATCAGGGTTGAATTTATAAAAGCCCCTTAATTTGTAATATATATATAATGTAGCCTAATAGTGTCCGATAGTTGAGTCACATTACTCCACGTTCTGTCCTAATCTCAGTTTCTGGATTTGATTTTCGTTTCATCATGCTTATGACATTTTTTTATTTATAATATTTATAAGAATCCTAAGCTTTCAATATGCAAG